CAGCCAAGTGCCACATTGACTCCTATGTAAACAGTATTAGGCAGGTGGTCATAATGTTATGGCTGATCAGTATATCTTCTCCCTCACTGAAAAATCCATAATCTGTGAATATGCAAATATTTGTCATTTCAAGATTCAAGATTCTCATTTGCCATTTATGCATAAACAGCCTAGGCATATAGGAATTCTTGTGCAGGGCTCTCCTGGAGTCAAGTAAAGAGTTTAAAGCCAAAAGAACAAACACCTAGTCTAAATATAAGATCACCCAGACTTTTACCTAATGAATACAATGAAATTATCATTAAAAAGCTAATTAAAACAGACCCATCCTGCTGGTACAACCAGAGTAAAAAAAAAATCACGGCTTGGTCATGTCATTGTAGTTATCACTCTCTGTATCACCTACCTCACTCAACCTTCATCTATATGTGAAAAGTGATATTTCCTCACCTACAAATTAAACTTACTTTCTACCTACTGTTGCAAAACTGTGGTATAAATATAGGTTCTCACCAACAAGAATCGTTGTAATCCAGTCAGACTTCATCTTCATTGTTTTTTTGACTGTGGTGACTTTACAGGCTATGAGACCACATGCTTCCGTTTTTACTGCCAATGCCACTGTTTCCTCTGAAGACCTACTTCTATATTATGGCACAGTTTCTTTATCTGTGACCTGTTTCACTTTAGCTATGAGACACGTTTTCCAGTCTTATGACTTTCCCTATGTTTTTTATCTTTAAGCAGTTGGAACATCCTGCCTGAGGATCTGAGGGTAGCTGAAAATGTTATCTCAAAACCAGCTGCTAAAGGCCAGTCAGTTATTAATGGTTGTTATTTCAACTTCCACATTTTGTTCCTATTTTTTTTTAATGTTATAGCAACATTTGCTCATTGTTTATATTCAGTCATTTTAGTCATATTTTTATTTTTTTGTATGCATTAGTCTTTATTAGTTTTTTGTTGTTGCTACCTATAAAGCACCATGAGTTGCACCTAAACATATGAGTGGTGCTACACAAACAGGTGACTGGAAAATTTGACTGAATGCTAAATGTTTGTCTATGAAAGTGTTGGCTCGTTTTAGAGGAAGTAAAAACCACAAGTGGCAAGTGGTCTAAAGCAACATTAGTATATTGAGAACAGAAGTGAAAAAGGGTCTGACTTCTGAGTTCAAACCAAAGAAATTCAGCAACCTGCTTTAATGAAAAGAAACTTTCATAAAAACAGCATGCAACACCGTAATGACTACACTATAAGGGTCTCCTTCATTTTATATTTAAAAACAGCAAGACAGTGAAATGACAGATAAGATATGAGAGTTTCTTCCCAGTTTTGCTTCCAAATCACATCAGGTATTTAATTTTTTCCATTCTTGATCATTAGTGATAGAGTTAAAGAAAAGCCTTAAGGTGCCCAAAGTGGTCATTTGGCTTGCAGACAGTAGTCAATAAAATAGAACACAAAACAAACTAACTAAAACAAAATGAGACAAACATTAAAACTGACGATATTGAATATCCATGCTAAATAAATAATAAAATAGCCCACACCACAATGTCATTTTTTACTAATCACCAATGTGCTAAATAAATAATAAAAAAGCGAACACCACAATGTCATTTTTTTTACTTATAATCAACACAAAACAATCCCAATGGCTGATGGAATTAAAGACCTTATATATTTATCTCATATAGGCCTGTGTGTTTTAGGTAATTTTTTTAAAGTAATAAACAATGTAAATGAACAAATCAGTAGGAGTATTTGTTTGTGTGTTTTTATCAAATCTGGCTTACACCTTTGGCCAATGAAGAAAGGTTGGTAAATGTAAAACTGTTATCAGACTAGTTGGTTGTATGTAACACTTTGTATTAGCTTAAAACACATCTGGTGATGTTGCATTTGGGGGCTGCATAAATGGTAGCAAATAATTATTGGGCATTGCAGATTGTTTTGAGTCACTCCCACATAAAGCCCACTATCTGACTATCTCTACTAGATGGATTCAGTCCACACAACTAAAAATAGTCCCCAACAAATGCAACTCATACTCTATAGAATATAGGCCTACTGATATTATTATAACTACACTACCACCATTATAATTATGATGGTGATTATTAGTAGTAGTAGTTCAGTATAGCATCGTCATCATTATTGCTTACTGCTTTCATTTAGACGCATTTGACTGATGACGTAGGACCTTAAAGGGCCACCCACTAACAGCAGCACGGAGCTTTCATGCCGGACGCCGGAGCATGAAGGGAACCTAAACAGCTCTGTGTGTTGTTTGCTTGTTAGTTGACGATGATCGCTGCGGCTGTTGCTAATTAAAAGTACAACTTCGTTTTAAAACTACCGGCTGCGGACTAAGATAAGAAACCACCGGATGAAACAGTGTTACCGGGTAGGCTTCCTAGCATTAGCTTGTTTGTTAGCTCGCTACCTGTCAAACGAGTCGCCTGCCTAGGCTGTCAACTTGATGGCACAAAACATTTAATATTGTTAGCCCGTTTTAAGCACAGTTTTTCAGGAATACGTAACTTGGCACCCTGATAAGCTGACATGCCAGTTGTAGGTGGAAATCAAGTCAGTGAAACCAAAACATTGCAGGCAGGTTTACTCACCTGTTGTTTTGGTTACCATCTGACTGACTAGCATGCTAACGTGAGAACAGCTTGTACCCCTCGTGAGTTAGCGTTACGTACGTACAAGCTGGGGCTGGTCAGCGCTTAAAGAATCTTGATAATGACAATGTGTAACCGCCCTTTAGTTTTCCTTGAAGCGACATTTCGGAGAGTATTTCAGAGACTGTTGTCAAGGTCTGTTTTAGCTTCAAAGACGTAGGTAGTTGTAGTTGCTCACACAACAGCTTGAGGCTGGGCTAACATTGGGCTTTATGTGGGCCAAGCTCTTTGAGTTTTGATTCACCCACACCACCCTCAGCTTCAGCTGGTTATAAAAACATTTATCCTACTCTTAGCCAGTTACAGCTGGGTGTCAACTGCAGTAAGTTAGCAGTTGTCAAATTGTGGTCCAGATCTCCTATTAAAATAGAAAAACAACAGTAAAAAATGTGAAGAGTAGCATGTTCTTCATCCAGCTATAATCATTTGGATTTCTTTATGCTCAGAAAGACCAAATACACTGATATGCAGTAACCTTGTTATTGCAGGACGACTAAGCAGCAGTGTCCAGACTGTAGACCGAGAGCAGACATACCGTATGTGCTAGTGTGATGTCTGTTTGTCCTTTTTCCACTGCTCCCTGTCCTGCTCACGAAACCAGAATATTGTGTTTCTGAGGTGTATGCCATTTCTACATTCTTCAGTGAAGTAAGAGTTAATGAGCCTCTGATTATAAGAAACACAACAGACTGTTTACTGTACTTTGTCTTTGTTTCAGGATGGCAGGAGTGTTTGACATAGACTTGGAGACTGAGGACATAAGCGATACAGAGGTTTGTACCCCACAGTCAGTGAGAAGACTACACAAATAGACCACATAAACAAAATTGAATGAAATGAGACAATCAGGAATTCCCTTTTTGAACTTTGTTTGGTTCTTGTGTTTGTCAGACCTAGTTAAACTGCTCCACAATTTGAAATTTAGATGTACCTTTCTTTCTATTGTTGAACCTCCTTGGCTTATTGTTTATCCTCTGTAGGATGATGATTGTGACTTCACTGTGACACAACCAGAGAAGTAAGTTGAATTTAATATTATAGAATTTTACACATGCGTGCTGATTTTTTTCTTCAGTATACTGTACAAACGTATACCTGAACTTTTATGTTTCTGTGTCCCAGTATTCAGACAGAGGAGGTGGAGTTGACCAGTGAGAGTGTCAACAGAGACAGTGAGAGAGTTGGACCTGACTGCTTTGAGCTTTTGACTGTGCTGGGAAAAGGAGCCTATGGCAAGGTGTGTGTGTGCATTGGTGGTGTTTACATCCACATATGATATTGTTTTAAAAGTGACATTTTTCTCCTCCTATCCATGGATGTTTCCTTTTATGATTGATTTTCTTTTATAGCTACTAGGGTTGCAACAGTATGAGATTTTGCTTACAATATGCTGTATTACAATATATGACACCATACAGTTACTATTATTATGAGCTACAACAACCCTTAAAGGTTAAAGGACGTAAAACAAAAGAGTCTTTTTTTATTGCAAGTGGCTGTGCCAGTTGACTGAGCTGGAATGCAGCGCTGGAGTGACACTATAAAGAATAAACAGAATTATAAACATGATAAAGAAAAATAGCATGGAAGTATAACATGTTATGTAACTAAAGCATGTTAGTTTACATGTTAGGAAGTATTCACGTACATTTATTTAAGTAAAAGTACTACTATCACACTGTAAAAGTAGCCTACTCTGTTACAAGTAAAAGACCTGCACTGAAAATTGTAAGTAAAATATTATCACAAAAATGTGCTTAAAGTATTAAAAGTCAAAGTTGGCTACTCAGTACAGCGCTCACACATTTTATTGTTTGGGATTAAAGTAATGAACAGAACTTGTACTTTGTTCTGAGAGGAGGGATCATGTTCCTGAAGGTTTTTGTTTTTGACATATCCACATTAATCCCATGCTGCTGAGTTAAATTTCATGTTTGCTGGATGGAGACTGGTAAATTTCAGCCTCCTTCTCTGACCTTTGTCTGCTTCATGTGTGCATGTGGCAACTGGAGCAGAAGGAACGTTGCCTTTTTTTCCTTCAGTACCCGTCATAAGCAACTGTGCATGGTATAATAACCGTCAATTTTCACACCATGGTATACCATGAAACTGGTGTATCACTGCAACTCTAATAACTACTCAGAAAAGTAATCCCAGAGTACTGTAATGTTTTCATTGTAAATGTGCATTAATAGGGTAGGTATTAATTAATATTAATAGGTATTGAAGATAAATGTCAGCTAATCAGAGGGAAAATAATTTTTATCAAGATGAAGTTGCTTAATTCTAGAGCAGCCAATACCAACTCTTCACTGGGCAGCACTGTCGTTGAAGATACGCCGTCTACTACACTTTAATACTACCAAAGAGAGTCCAAACATTATAACTGTTCTTCAGATAATGTCTGACAAAAATTCTGAAATCCTGAGATCTACTCAGTTCATAAAACAGAAAGCAGCATCTCATCACATTAGAGAAGCTGGAATTAGCAAATGGATGGCATCTTTGATTGATACATGACTCAGTTACGATTCATTTTTGATCTACAACTACATAATATATCCCTTTCAGCACAGTCTTATTCTTAGTTGCTTTTTTTTTGCAACACACCTGCTGTCTTTCTTTTGTATGATTTCTTTTAAAACTGAATGTCTTCTTTAAGGTTTTCCAGGTGAGGAAGGTTCAAGGTGCCCAGATGGGGAAAATATTTGCCATGAAGGTCCTGAAAAAGGCATGTTGACGCAGCCCACAGCCTCCTCTAGAGACACAAGTTGTAGGATAGAAAGTGCATGTAGTTCTTCTGTTGCCTTTTATTCTTCATGCCCTTCCCTGTTGTCTCCATCCCCCTTTACCTGCCATGTCTTCTCTTCTTGCTGTCTGTCCTCCTTTCTTTCCTGCCACCCCTCTGCATTTTTCCTCTCTCACCACTCCACTCTGCTAACTTCTATTACACCTTTGTCTTTAGGCTAAGATAGTGTGTAACGCTAAGGACACGGCCCATACAAGAGCAGAGCGTGAGATCCTGGAGACAGTGAGACACCCGTTCATTGTGGATCTGCTCTACGCCTTCCAGACTGGGGGGAAGCTCTACCTCATACTGGAGTGTTTGAGTGGTAAGACAGAGACACTGAGGGGCGGGTAGAATAAAAACATAGCTCATAGCAGGAGAGGCTGATGACATGGAGCAACTTTTTATTGCATGTGTTCACACCTTAAAAGAGCCCTTCATTTCTAGCAGTTGTTTAAACGGATAGCAGGAAGAGTTGGACAGAGAAAAAGAGAGATGACTAGAGAAATGGATGAGTAGATGGGATTCTCTTGTTCCATTTGTTTAAAGGGATAGCAGGAAGAGTTGGACACAGAAAAAGAGAGATGACTAGAGAAATAGATGAGTAGATGGGATTCTCTTGTTCCAGTAACCCGTCTGTACTTCTATTTGTCTCTAGGAGGGGAGCTGTTCATGCAGCTGGAGAAGGAGGGTATCTTCATGGAAGACACTGCTTGGTAAGGATGCCTTCTCCTAGGCTGAATGTTTACACATAAGTTGTAAATTCAAGTGTGTATGGCTTTAGCGTGGTTATGATATTGAATTGTTTCTTTGGAAATGTGTGTAGTTTCTATTTAGGAGAGATCACATTGGCCCTAGGTCATCTCCATTCTAATGGAATTATTTACAGAGACCTCAAACCTGAAAACATCATGCTTAATCGCCAAGGTAATGCACCATGTGTTTGTCTAAGAACATGTGTAAATAAAGGCAATACATGCAGGATAACAAGAAAGCCTTTTATTGCTATAAAATGCAGAATGATCATAAGTACACCTCAGTGGGGCTGCTGAGATGTTTCAGAATAATTTTTAATCATGAGCAAAAACAGAATCACCACTGAAATCTTATAGCTGATTTGTGCTTTTAATGATAGTTAATGAAGTTTAAAAAAAATAAAAATAAAAGTTTGTCTTTTAATGACACCTCCCCTAAAATATTCCACTCTGTTTCGATTTAACCAAATATGACTGTAAGTGCCCTTATGAATGCGAGCTTGGTGTGGTTTGCTGCTGCCTTCTCCTGTTCTCTGCTTGGCTTTGTGGTTGGTTCCTCTTGTTCTATAATATAAATGTAGCCTTCATACAGTAGTTACAGATGATACTTCAGTATGCTTTTCTCTGTTTAAAGGACACATCAAGCTGACTGACTTTGGACTGTGTAAGGAATCTATTCACGATGGCACGGTCACACACACCTTCTGTGGCACCATAGAATACATGTGGGTAACTACTTTCGTTCTCACACACCCACCGCTCCAGTTCATACACACACCGCCTGACTCTCTAGTTTTACAACCCATTTGAGCCCACATATGAAACAGTATGCTACCAGTTTATTCAGCGTCCTCTGTTCTATGGGGATCAAAAAGTATTGTACCTTTTATGGATGTTGTTATTCTTAGAGGAACCTTGTTTCATGTATACAGTACATAACCTTGGTTATATTCTTAGATCAACAAGGGTGTAGCAACATTTACAAACTTTTCCACATAAATGCAAACTTGTAAAATGCAGTTTGTAAACTGTTAACTAGTACATGTACTAAACAAATACATTAAAGTTTATAAGTGTTTGTATTTTTTAATTCTCCTCACTATTTTTACCCTAAAACTTCCTCTCTTTCTGTGTTTGTCTTTTTTCCTCTACATGTCTTCCTCTCCTCCAGGGCTCCAGAGATCCTGACCAGGTCTGGTCACAACAGAGCGGTAGACTGGTGGAGCCTGGGGGCCCTGATGTACGATATGATGACCGGATCAGTAAGTTATAACTTTGTGAGAGAACAGCTGTTGCTGAGGACAGCCTGAGTGATGTTGTGCCTCCCCTCCAGGATTTTTCACTAGTATTCCAGAATTTTTTGGAAGTGCTCCAGTAATGTCTAATGACCTACAACTTTATGACAATGCATGTTGGACTGTTTTCAGCGCATGTCACTGCCAAATGAGCAGTTTATGGCCTAGATATTTCACTGAGTGGGAACAATAGTGAGACAAGAAGTGCTTGGGCTAGGGGAGATTAGATGTAACTTTCATGACTTTTCAACCGTCATCAGTTTACTGAGCAGCTACACATTAAGACATCAACAAAAGGCACGGCATTGCATTGTTTACACCTCACATGCACTAGTAAATCAGATGTTCTTTCCGCAATGTAATCACAGTGGGAGCAGGAAGGCATTGGACTGTGAACACTGAAATGATTTTTTTCTGTCTTTCTGTAAAGAATACCAGCCAGTCAGACATTTTAGCAGTTAGTCAAACATTATCTACTTATTTTTCAGTCTGAAAAACTATGTTGAAAACTACTGTCCTTTTTTGAGTCCAGCCCACCCAGAAGGAAAATGGATCAAAAAAAATAACCGCATCTCTCCTCCTTTGACCCAAAAGTCCCAGAAGGGGTTTGGTTTAGTACTGGTAAAATGAAATGTCACTCACATTGTAGCCAATCCCTGTCTCAGCATCACCCTGAGTGTTCGCCATCCAAATATCATATTTTTGCTATATGAATTCAGCTCTAAATACCTTACTGAAGTGGCTGCTCCCCTAGATCCACCGCTAACAAGGTGATTTTTATATGGATAAATTCAGCAAAGCCTCATCTACTAATGTGTAACGCTGTGTGGTCGGATTTTGTTTTCCATTTGGGACTTTTTAGAGCTTTGTATGGAAACAGGGAGAGTGCCCTCTAGAAGTGAGACCAGAAGAGGGAGAGAATCCACAGGCAGTGGATGTGAGAGCTGCCACCTGGAGGTTCAGCTTCGCACTGGTTTTAAATTTTATAAATCAAACATGATTCATGTCACTGTACAGGAATGGCGATCGACATTTAACCAAACCTTCTGTGAATGTCACTAGAGCCATTTTACATTATAAAATATGGCTAATCAGTGTTTCTCTAAGTACTTTGTATTGATAAACCAGTGGCCAACATGGACATTTTTAGACTTAATGACAATGGCTATGTCTATAACAGTTTTAAAGGCCCTTTTTAGTTTTTAGTTTAGTCTGGAAGCTGCACACAATGACAAATTTACAGTCCAATTCAACCCCCCACTCTCTGAGAGCGCACAAGGGCCAGCATCCTGCCAGACATAGTGGAAGGGTTCAGTGAGCGGAGTTGGGAAGAGTTTTTGTAGTTTGCATCTTACTGATGGCATGGCTCACCAAACTCACAGTACCTTGTCCGAATAGAAAAGGTTAGTGTTTGGCACAACAGGGGAGGCAGCAAGAGGGACACACTGTCTGTCACTTGCGAGGGTGGAGATGACAGCAGTGAAGAAGACAGTGATTAGATATGAGAGTGGCACAGGTCGACTTCTTAGAACAGTATGCAAACTTGTGCAGGAACGTGGATGTGAGAAGAGTGGGAAGCTTGTCCGGTTCAGAACCTGTCTTTATTTTGTGTAACTTTTAGTCTTGATATAATTTAAACAGGTGAGTTGTGTAAAAATTAACCCACCTTACAGTTGTCATGGAAGGGAAAATTAGCTAAAGAGACCAAAACTGTTTTTTTGTGCCAGAATATAAACATGTTTGTTTCTGCTGTAAAATTGTGTAATTTAACATGGGAGTCTATGGGGACTGACTCACTTTTGGAGCCAGCCTCAAGTGGCTATTCAAGGAACTGCAAGTTTAAATACTTGTGTAATATGTCTGTGCAGATTCTCAGTCATCCAGGTCATGATAAACTGAAAAAAACCTTAGAAAAAATCAACTGGACCAGAACTGATGAAGCCTCTTGGATGAGAGGTGAAATGTCTTCGATCTAGAAATCTAAGTCCAGTTGATTTTTTTCTAAGGTTTTTTCACTTGTGTAATATGCTCAGCCTCAGAGGTCGCCATTTGGTGGACATCTGTTGATTTGATTGGCATGAAACTCTCCCAGTTGAATCATCAGTATAAAAGTTGGACAACTGCATTAAAAAGCATCTGGTTATTTGATCAGAAAGTCAAAGGTGTAAACACTGGTATGTAAAAAGTTTAGGGTGGATGTTAACTACAACCCCCAAAATGTATTTTGGCAAGAATCATGCAATCAAAGAGCCCAAATTTCTATTATATGCACTACTAACAGCTGCTTGGAGCTAAAGATGGCGTGCTGAAAAACATTTTGCAATCTGCAGCTTATTATTATTTCTAGGTCACTTTTGTATGAGTTCATCAATGATGGTGCTGTGTTTTGTTCCCAGCTGCACTGCAGGAGTGTTCTGAATTTGATATCACTCTAGTTTGTGCCATGAATTGGCTTTTTTCTCCATGGCAACGCCAACTGAAGCTGGGTGTTGTAGTATTTGGAGACATCTACCATGCCGAAATGATGGTCAAGACGTAATTAAAATACACAAAGCTAAAATAAAATAGGTGGTTATAGCATATACCTATGGTGTTGTTACATTATCCAGGAGAGACCCACGTTTCTATGTCAAATTAAGGCTCTAACTGGGAGTGGGGATATAGACTGGAGGAAAAACGCCTCTGGAACTTGGCCCCTTCACTGTGAGAACTCTGTTATGCACTGTTTTTATATTTTACATTTATAACCAAATGAAATAGTTTATAGCATTTAGCCTTAAAACTATTTAGTTAAAGCTATTAATAAGCTAAAGATACAACATGGGCTTCAGAATTGTTTTATGTGACTTGTAGACAGAATGAAAATCAGAAAATGTCAGATTAGACCCGATGAATCATATATTGCTGGCACTAGTGATGGGTAGATGAGGCGTCATGAAGCGTTTCAACACATTGCCAAACTGTATTGATACTGTGTCGATACTGTGTCACTGAATACTGACACCTGCTGGACCTTAAAAATCCCTACAGGCAACCTAGTTGACAGACTCAACTGACACTGATTTGATGACCTAGTATATACAATAATATAATTTAAGTCATTGTATTTTATATTGTATTATTTCATATCTTCATTTAAAACTGGGATTTTTTTAAACAAATTTTTATTAAAAAAAATACGTTTTTCCAACGTTTTGAAATTGAGTCTGTTACGCTTTTTTGATACAACTTCTCCAGCTGTAGAAAACACCCACTCACACGCACAGATGAGGCTGGAGTGCAGAGAAATTGTAAGGCAAGTCGGAAGAGGTTTGGATAGATTGCCTTTTGGTTGTCCCAGTATCTCATAGGATCCTGGGACCTGGCAATACCTTATTTTCCGATACGAGATCAAAATGGTCCCACACGGCGGAAACCTTTCTTTTGGCTTGAGGCTGCTCCATAATTCTTGATGAATGTGACGATAAACCGCAAAAGATCAGAGATTCGTTTTGGCAGATGCATCCTGTTGACATATGCACTTCCTTATAAACACAGTTTGGTGCGGCAGTGTCAGTTCAAAACAGTTTAAAAAAAAATATAAATAAAAAAATAAATAAAGATCGAAACAGTTCTTGTATCGGTCACGTGACTTTCTTAAAGCGATACGCGCACCAACACGGGGTTTTGCTCTACGAGCTCGACGCATGTGGCGACGCATCTGTGTTGCCGGACCCATCACTAGCTGGCACTTATTGATGGAGTAAGCCTATGTGAATTTCTATCCTTCAGCCAGATTCAGAACAATGTCTTTGTGAAGCAGCTCTCACCACAGATATGTGCAAGTCCTGTGGAACAAATAACTGCCACAGTTTGTGAACTTCACTTTAACTGATAACTGTATAATTGTTTTTTGTTAAATGGTGGTAAATTTTACTGTGGCTCAGGGTTAGGATTGCCGCCAAATTTAGGTAATGCATTACCACCTTCTTAATCTCCAGTGCAGTGACTTTAGATCTGGTCTTACAGAACAGGGGAGTGAGACATTTTGACTTCCGCAGTAACTGCTGACTGTCTCCTGTGATTTCCCATCAGCCTCCTTTCACTGCTGAAAACCGGAAGAAGACCATTGATAAGATCTTGAAGTGTAAACTCAATTTGCCCCCATACCTGACCATTGATGCCAGGGACCTCATCAAGAAGGTGCAGAAACACACACTCACAAAATCACAGGCACCAATGAAGATTGAATTCAGACCATTTATTCTTTAAATTTCCAAATGATTAGCAGTTGTTTTTATCACCTACAGGCAGTAACACTCTCTCAGAAATGTGCACAATCACATTGGTTACATTCATCAGTAATGTAAAGCACTGCATCTGTTTGCATTCAGGTATCGTTTATCATTGCCTGTGAGGCCTCTGCCCCTCCATCAAACCACAGAATGCTTTTTCTGGCCTGGCTTCTTCATAGCTGCCATTAATTAGTTTCTCCTCTGTGGGGCTCCACATCTGCCCTTTTTCCTTGTATTTGCCATGATTTGACCACAGAACAAAATAAAAGCAATATGAGAGTAAAATTATGAACATGTAGCTTTTGTCAGTTTTGGTATGTGAACCTGCAAGAGGTCAGCTTACCATGTGTGCTATAATGAATGTGATTCCCTTTTAATTATGGAAAAAAGCTTTGTTTTCTAAATTCACAGTTGACGGCTTATTTCAAAACATTGATGCATGCAGGCATCGGTAACATGTGCCAGTCTCCCTTTTTTTTTAGCTGCTGAAGAAGAATCCAGCCCAGAGACTTGGCTCCAGTAAAGCACACTGTGCTGATATACAGGTAACTTTTTAATTTAAGCCTCTTTCAGACATGCACTCCTTTCCAGTCTGACAGCATCTGAATGTGTCAGTTTCCTGTCTGAACAAGCACTCTGGTCACTTTTGGTAAAGGTCGTGACAGCAGTCTTGCTAGTTTGGACCTAGTAACATTTACATGTCACTTTCAACATGGCATAAGTCTGAACTCCATACTCATACATTTTACACCACTTGATGTACTGTCTAATTTCACACACCTGACAAATGTCACATGGATATCATGGCTCTCTCTGTCATGGTCGTGGCTACGCCTCAGTGAAGCTGCGAGGAACATTAACATAAAAGTGACCCTTGTCTGATTGACAGCACGATAAAGCCAGCGATGTTATGTACCTCATGTCTGAAAGGCTTTTACACACACTGTCTAAACAATGGCGGTTGCTGTTGTTTCTTTTTTTGGACACACTAGTGTTGACATACAGCAGCAGCCGAGGTAGTTGCAGTATAATGGGATGAGCTAAATGAATAAAATTCTTGTTTTTACACGCCCAAGACATTGAGCACGTGGCAATACAAAATGGTCTCTGCAGGTCATCAGACACGCTTTTGACCAGATTATCAGCTCTAAAATATGGAATATAAAATATTTTATATTCAGTAATAGGAGCTGTAGAAACACATAAAGCAGGATGGCCAGACAGTAACTGTCCCGATGCAGCCATACGTAGTATTGCCTTTAAACAGTCATTGGGTAGTTCGGATCACATGATTACATACCGAAATCAATCAGTTATAGCCACAGGCAAAGTCTGTTTGGTTGTTTGAACTCTAAAGCGCTGTTGCATTCTTCTCTCCTCCTTTGTGAATTTCTGTGGATCCAGCTTGGTGATATATGGGGAAATGCATTTTCTGTGATTTGTTGTAGACCTAACTTTTTATGTCAAAACCACCTCCTCACTTTCAAAGTGTCGCCATTTTTGCTTTAGCTTTTAGCCCTGCTTGTTGCTTATGTAAATACATTAATACATCACAATACTGTGATATGACATTCATATCACATAAGAACTTTTACTGATATTACCTTGAACCATATGATATGGCACACCTGTATCCTGCTGATATTAGAAGTTGGAGCAAGACGGGTAAGGTTCCTTTTGTTTTGTTGGCTTTCTAAGCACACTGAGCTGCTGGTACCATC